CTAATGGATCAAATGAATTAAAATATAAATTGTTTTAAATTAAATCAAAAGAAACGGCTTAAAATGCCGCAATTTTGCTGAAAAACCACAAAAGAGAGAGGCGAGCACCCGTGGTGTTTCGCCGGCGATCTGCATTGAAACGCAGAAAACGAAAACATGAAATAATCAAAAAAAAGAAAAATAATTTAGTTTTTTATTTTTTATTTAATTAATTTAAATTTAAATTTAAATTTTTTTTAATTTATTTCTTTTTTTTCAGCTCTCTAATACAACACGCAATGATGCATGAGTAACACCAACCAGCCACTAGAAACACGTTTGTATCGCAGCCCCCATTCTGAGTTTCTTTTTCTTTAATTTCATAAATTTAATTATTTTAATTATTAATTATTAATAATAAAATAATATTTTATTTATTTTTAAGAATTTGAGCGAGGGGTTGTGGTGTTATGATGCATGCTTTCGTTCATTTGTTGTATTAAATTTGTTTACTAGCGTTTCAATACAGAAGCAAACAAAACAAAAACAAAAAAAAGAAAAAACAAATAAAATAAAATAAACTAAAACAGAATAAAATACACAATAACAACTTTAATAGTTTTATTTACCTCCAAAATAAAAGACCCACAGATACTAAACCCTAAACCCTAAACCCTAAACCCTGAAATCTTATACACCTCACCCCCTGCCTCCGTCTGCAACCCTCTCAAACCCTAAACCCTAAACGCTAAACCCTAAGAAAAACATAATAACTAGGGTTTAGGGTTTAGAGTTGTACAACAAAAGGAGTTTATGTTATACTAAGTATCCATAAGAGAGTGCAGTGTAAACCCTAAACCCTAAACCCTAAACCCTAAACCCTAAAACAAACAAAAACCATCAACTCATTGCAAGCAGCTCTGTCTCCTCTTCAATTAGTAACCCTAAACCCTAAACCCTAAACCCTAAACCCTAAACCCTAGAGATAAGCAGCACCATCCCCAAAAAGGGTTTAGGGTTTGTTGCTAAACCCTAAAGAGAAATGTTCATTTGTTTTTTATATTTTTTATTTTTTATTTTTTTTCTTTTTTATATTTAAATTGTTTGTTTCTTAACTTGCAGATACACCGCAAGAATATATAAAGCACAGCAAACCTCAACAAGAGGAATTGTTTATATATATATATATATATATATA